CCCTATTTCTCCTCTTCCATTTCTCCACTCGCATTTCCTTTCCCCTTCCCTTCTTCCTCTAATTTCTCATCCCTTTCTCCTTCTTTTTCCTTCTCGTCTTCTTCATCTTCGTGTTTCTTTTCTTCTCTTTCCTACTTATATCCACCTCCTCCCCTCCTCCCCCCTTTCTCACAGGCGACCAGTGGGTGGGCTACGAGGACCCTGACAGCCTCAAGATCAAGATGGACTTCATCCGCGAGCAGGGCTACCTCGGCGCCATGACCTGGGCCATCGACCAGGACGATTTCCGGAACTGGTGTGGAAGGGGACAGAACCCGATGATGAAGTGAGGCTTGTTTTTCTTATTTTTCTTTTTCTCCTTTATTTTATTTACTTTTCGATATCTATTATAATGCAAACAAAATTTACATATCCTTTATAATAGCATCAACACCAGTTATTGCACAGAACAAGTTGCTTTCTGTTCGCAGCACCATTTACGATGGCATGAAGGACTACGTGGTGCCTGTTGCTCCCACTCTTCCTCCAACCACAACAGTACGTACAAAGGGGTTTTCCTTAAATTATTCTGACAAGAAATGAAGGTCCTAAATACAAGAGATGATCATATTGATTTTTTTACGACACCGTTGATTGTATGACATTGAAAAGGGCCACTATGTCTACGCCTAACAGAGCCCCTGGTGGACTCCGCCAACTACTACTACCACAACACGTGATCCCAGCATCACCACGACCACGAGGGATCCCAACTTGCCGACCACAACTATGGGACCTATTGACTGTACTGTTCAAGAATACTGGCCGCATCCAGACTGTGACAAGGTAGAACTTTATGGGCTAAATGTAAGGCTATAAATTTAGTCTCTCTGTCTTATGTCTCTCTATCCCCGTCTCTGTTTCTCTCTCTCTCTCTCTCTCTCTCTCTCTCTCTCTCTCTCTCTCTCTCTCTCTCTCTCTCTCTCTCTCTCTCTCTCTCTCTCTCTCTCGTTCCCTCTATTTGTTTCACCTTGCCTACTTTGTCCTCTAACAAGCGTCCTCTTCGGTTGCAGTATTACTGGTGTTTCGAAGGCGTTCCCCACCTGGAGTACTGCCCCGCTGGCACCGTGTGGAACCAGGCCATCAAGGCGTGTGACTGGCCGGCCAACGTGGATACCTCCGACTGCAACATGCCCTCGCTCTCGATGGACGCCAGCCAGCGGCCTCTCCACAACACCATCCCACTCAATGTCCGGACTAAGGGGACCCCGCACTCGGGCAAGGCGCTTAAGGTTCCTCTCAACTTGGTTTCCAAGAAGTCAGCTCCGGCGAAGCCAACGCGTGTCGAGTCTTTACCTGCGAAGTCAGTTAATACTAAACTAGTTCATAATAAAGCACCACCTGCTAAACCAGCACATGATAAGCCAGTACATGATAAGCCTCTTCATGCTAAACCAGTTCGTGTTAAGCCAGCACCGGTAAAGCCACCTCATACTAAAGCAATCCATGCTAAGCCAACACAGGTAAAGTCAGCTCATAATAAACCACCAGCAGTCGACCTAAAAGCTACCACGCCAGAACCATCTAGCCCAGAACTTTCCAAATCAGAACCTGCTAAGTCAGCACCACCACTATTAATGAAGATGCTAAAGAATTGAAGTTTACCAGCGAGAATAGGACCACCAAAAGTGAGGTCTCCAATTCCATTTGTGAATGAATACAATCGTGTCACTATTAAAAGATGAGAGCACTATGTAAAAGGTGTGGTAAGAAAAGGTAAGGGAGTAAAGATAAATACTAATCTTGAAGTAAATAAAGCTAGAGATACACAAATCACTGGATCAGTAGAAAATAATATCAGGTTTGAGAAGACAACAATAATAGCAACTATAATAATAACTAATAGAGACAAAAATAATAAACATTATGATAGAAATTATAACTGGATAAATCAACGGAAATAGAAGTTGACAACAATAAAGAAAACTATGTGTTAGCCATCT